ACAAATAATGTAACTAAGAAAACAGATTCAAGAATATTAAAAGAGATATTGACTGTTTTGTATAAAGTATATATGCTAGTAAAATACCTGTGTAATTACACTTAATATCAGATTTGTAACATATAGGTATATTTCAGCACTAAGTATTACTATTGAAAATAACATTATCTTTATGCAACTTTGAATGGCAAACAAGTTGACGGTCTACCCGATAGAAAGTGTTAACCGTCGCCTATAGATACGAACAGTACCATGAACGTAAAACAGTATACTGTGTTTCCTATGACACTTTTCATGCATACTATTTCTGAGGACTAAGATATTATGCCTCTATAGCCTGTAATTTCATTGCCATATTGAATTCTTCAAACCGAACCACAGCCACGCAAGCAACTGCTTCATTACAGAAATACGAATGGGACAGAGCTATCCAAGCAGACAACATTTGTGCAGTCTTCCTCTCATGTAAATTAAAAGTCTAATATATATTATCTGGTAAGCATATTAACCAAATAACTAACTATGTAAATAATTTTGTAACTATACCTAAATAAAGTGCTACACCTACCACTTTATTTTGTATAAAAGACAAGGTAATCGCGCTACACATAAACATGTACCAAATGAACTTTGATGGCATTAATGATTTTAATATAATTATTTAATGACTATATAAATGCCTTAATAATCCTTATGAATAACATGAAAGCAGTGTGAAAATAATCCCAAATTTGTGATAAATTCAAAGCGACAGCCATTAGCGCGGGTAATTACGTCGTCAGCACAAAACAATTCCGGTAACACGTGGGATCCCGATTCGAGGTTCGTCGACAGCGTGATATATAATAATAAAATTAGTCGCCACATCCGCAACCGTAACCTTTGTATCCCCGTCCATATCTGCACGTAATCCGCTCCGGCAACTGAATATAACGAGTTAGAGCAGCTTTCTGCATCGTACCTCGTTCAATTCTCTTTTATACTTGTGGCAGATTAGATATTTTCTATTAGGAATTCATTTTGTATTGTAAAAATAACTTACTCCGTGCATTCTAGTTACTGCGCTTATAATAAATTTTATTATATTGTGACAGATTTATACTAGAAGGTATTCCGAGGCAAAATCGTTTTCGAACGGTTCGAATGAACTAGACTATGTCTATTAATATATACCTAGTTTACTTATGTGCAATTTAATTTTTATGTATAAGTATGTTATCAATGATACTGAATACAGATGGAAGAACGTATTTCTCATTTAAGATATTTACATTCGGTAATTGGTTTTTTGATATTTAAATATATCCAACAATTATAGTATATCCAAGTTCTATATATAAACTGTCTATAATCTATAAGAACAAAGGAAACCGAGTACCAAGAGGATTTATTTACACTTTTTGTTATTTCATTGACATAGGCTGTTATTGAATGTAAGCTCGTTTCGAAAATTAGCTTTTCCTCTCCGAGTTTATTAATACTTAACAATATTGTACATATAGAGATAATGATTATAAGTAATTTAACTATTAAATTAACTCCTGGAAATATATTCCGTTCTAGAGACTATACTCAGTGACGTAGTCTCGTCACGCGTCTCCCGGAGTGCTCGTTAGAGTACGTACTTTGAAACATCCCCGCGAACCGTGTGATGGTTTCTGTAATATACTGAGCATTATAACTATGTAGAAACCTAAAATAATTATGACTTACTTTAGTTGGTACATCAACTTTAACTATGTTTTTGTGGATGTGTGCATGAATGTATGTAACATATGCAGTTATGTAACTGACACTTTTGTGAACATATTCGTACCTTATATTATCTTACATTTTACCCACCAACTTTGTACGCGTAAATTTCAGAAGTAGGAACATAAAATACAAAGACTATTTCTCTATTGTGTAACAAGATAAAATATACACCAGTTTTTAAGTTGGTTTAGGAATACAACTGTGAAAATCGTATCATAATTCGTGCAGTTGTTTTTGCGTGTTGCCGAATAAATATATAGACAGACAAAATTTCTAAAAAATATTGCTTTAGCATCTGTTGGTCTTATTAAGAACCCTCATATTAATTTTATAAAATAATTATCTTCTACATATAGACATTGTCTAGTTACAATTCTATTATATTAATAAGATGAGATTTCTTACAATATCAGTGATAACTTTTGTTTTGGTTTTGGACATAGTTACAAATACATCGGACATTGACGTCGAATTGGCACAGAACAGAATCATACTTATATTAATTACTGTCACGATGAAGAAATACTTGCCGATATAAGTCATGATGATTTATTAACAGAAATATAATATATAAATGTCGAAGTAGAAGATTATAATAGAATTTATTGTAAATAATGCGTCAATCTTTATTTACTTGTTCGATTTCAATACAGAGGAATAACACTTGAGTCCTCAGGAATGGCAACGCAAGGGGTTATCATGGGCGAAACAGTATACTCTATTATGTCCATGGTATTGCTCATGTCTATAGATGACGGTTACCACATTCCATCAGGTGGGCCATTAGCTTGTTTGCCATTTTAAGTTGCATAAAAGATCGAAAAGAAAATCAAAGATCGAATTATGAGTTAAATTATAATACTTAATTTCAAGACTTTATTTGTATTTTATTTATTTCATATTATTATTATTGTATTGGTGATGTTTTAAGTAACATTAATGACGTTATCAATATAAAATGACAATTTTAACTAAATAATTTGCATGAAATTTATACCTTCGAATTAATGTTGGTATTCTTTACGTAATCATAAATAGTTATAGACCCATATATATTCATACTACTATACTTAACCTGACCTTTGTGATAATTTATATTTTCCTGGAAAATCTAAAATAATCCACTTAGTGCGCTCGTCGCAGGTACCTACAAACTGAACAAGTTCCGTGGTCGGTTGTGACCTTTGTAATTAATCAAAACAGTCGTCGTTCCTGTAGTGATTAAACTGACGTAGATCCTACACAGCTGTGAGCAATGCCTCGTCTAAACACTGCCAAATTGGATTCTATGGACATTGTTGAATTGACAAGGGTAAATTAAAAAGTTGATTTAATAAAAAAGAAATTCCAGCTTAAATCTTCATCAACACGGTAGTAAATAACCATTTCGATAAAAAAAATCAAAATCGGTTCAGAATTATGAAGATATGATATAAACTTCGGAAGAAAAAAAAAACAATCGTATTCTTTTCCAGTCTGTTAAAAATTAGTTCAGAAATGACGTAAAATCCGCGTAACATTACCATGGATCATTTGCATGGCTGATTCCCTGTTGAAGTTCTTCTTCAATTCATTTGTATCATCGTAACAGAAAAATATAATCGAATAAAAATTTGCTATTTAAAGTAGAATTGAAAATGAAGAAAGTTTCCTTGCGTGTAACATTCATATCTATTAATATCCATTATCAGGTCTTGTTAATATGAAATAGGCAATATCTACTTGTACATTATTTATGATATGTTACCGTATTGATGTATGAAAAGCAATCATTATGTCTAATAATATATATTACGATGTTAATATATGTATATAGAGTATAGATAACCAACTTTATGTAACAGCGATAGCATTAACAGAAAGAGACTAGTCATTTATCTCGTTGAATCTAATTTTCTCTGAAATGACTGCTATTTACTTAGAGCGATTTTTCACCCCCATAAACCACTGTAGATTTATAGGTACCTACTGAATTTCATCGGAGTTATTTACAGTAATCAAAACATGTAGGTATATTAGTTAAATAAACATGCTTATGACTGTAATCACAGGTAGGGTAGTTAGTCTTTCTTCATTGATATTTTTATGGTGAGCGTAAATTGATGACTGGCCGGTATATCATAGAATTGCAAATAGATATATAATGTTTGTATCCGACAGAAAATTAAAACAATATATATGAAAGGAATACGAAATTTTGTCTTTACATCTATCTGTATGTACAAGTACTTCCTGGAGGTCTAACTTAAAAACTGGTATATTTATCTTGATATACCATCTAGAAGCAAACAATTTCATTGGTTTTTCTACTTCTGAAATAAACGCATACAAAGTAGTGGGTAAAATGCTAGTGGAAAGTAATAATAGTTAGTAGTCAATATTATGTCTTTTTTTTTTATTTTATATAGAAAACAAGCAGTACATTTTTCTTAAAAAATCCACAGTAATAAACTGATATTATTATTACACTGGTAATAAGTATCCATTGCGTTGATTGTCTTCGAAGGTAGGCAATTAGGTTTATGAAATAAATGTGTAAGCTAGTAAGAAAGAAGGTAAAATTACCCGAAATAAGGACACAATCTTTGTACTCGTGTCAGTCGTGATAACGGGTTATGAATCATAATCACGGAGATAGGTACACACAATAACAATTTGCTAAATTGGAAGCTCTATGAATATATTATTAGATCGAATTACTTGTCTATTTTGTCTATCTCTGAGATAACTCCATTATAGTGTATAAATGATGTATAGTATATAATGAATGTAAAATTTCTTCTCTCTCTCTCTCAAAAAACTCTTCAATAAAATTACAGTGTAAGGAAAAAAGTAATGCTCCTTATACTGTGATAAAAGTTTTAAAAGTAGCTGCAATTTAATTGGTTTTTAAAATCAAAATCAAATCTTAAAATTGTAAACAAATCAACTCTTTAGTTTTACAAAAGCATGATTAGTTATAGCCTATTTAAACAAAAGGACTGATTTCAACTATCAGGATAAAAAGTTAGTTTTTTTGCTATATACCTAGTTGACTAAATTGCAACCACGTCCTGAAATAACATAATGCTTGTAATATTTATAAAATAGAGGCGAATAACCAAGCGGGTAATTAGAAAACCGTGCTGAGAGGTAATTACATTCGGATACATCTATAAAGGGAGATTATAGCAACGTACTAGTTTAATACATTAACTATTATCTTTTTTTTTGCGGGTAGCTACGCAACGCCTAACACGAAAAAATACGCGTCTCACTTTTAATAATTATTATAATTAATATCAACTATTTGTTTCATAAGTTTTCATATGATTTTATAATCGGACTGTGATATCTACCTGCTGATCTATTATCTCCTCTCGTTTCTGCACTGATTTTATTATTATGGAAGCACTACACACTACAATGGCAGCATTGATGGAGCATTTCAATAAGAAAATGGCCGAGTTTCAAAATGAACTGCAAACTCAAAAGGAAAGTACCACTCCTACCACTATTTCTTCACTGGAATCTAATTTTAAGGTATTCCAAAAGTTTGTCAACATTGCACTTACTAGCCTCCAACAGCAGATGGAATTGCTTACTCGCCAACAAGATCAGATGGAGATGCGTAGTCGACGTAAAATGCTGTTATTCCATGGTATTCCTGAGTCTCAAAGAGAATCTGTTTCTCAAGTGATATCAAAGATCATTGTGGAGAAACTTGACATCAGTGACTTCTCTGCTGACCAAATTGACCAATCTCGTCGATTAGGTCTTTTTAAAAAAGAAAAATCACGACCTATCTTAGTAAAATTTAGAGACTTGGAGATGAGGAATGAAGTGTGGTATTCTAAAACGAAGCTCAAGGGTTGTGGCATCACTGTGTCGGAATTCTTAACGGCAGTGAGACACGAAGCCTTTTTAGCTGCTAGACAACACTTCGGCATAAAAAAATGCTGGACTCATGATGGAGTTGTTATCATCACTGGTACAGATGGAACGAGGCATCGCATAACTTCTATGAGTGAGATAAATAAACTAGTGAACTCGTCGCAAAGTTTGGCTGCAGAAGCTTCATCAAACCAGAGTACATCCACATGTTCCACGGTTCCTGCGTCTCGAGCAAAGCGCGTAAAAAAGTAGTGATTGCTCAAGCATAATTTACAAACTTTACCTACATTACTGCTTTGCGTTATTAGTTACAATTAAATTATGCACTTGAAAACAGATCTTGCCTTACAGAGTACCTACTTTAAATTGTTTAATAAGTGTTCTACCCACGTTTGTGTTATTTTATTTTGTGATGTCATTTTATTGTAAAGGATGGTAGATCAAAATTTCTTGTTTACAATTGTTATTACTGTATTGTCATTTCATTCTATCATCACGTGTATTGTAAATGACAGTTTTGTTATATTTCTTTGTAGGATCTTTTTTATAGTGACTTCGCATCTTGTGTATTTGCTAAACGCAAAGCATTAAGCTGTAATTAAGAGTTATTACATTTTATACTTATTAAGAGCAGACAAAAATCCATACCCATACAGTCCACTGTAGTATATTTAATTTTTATTATTAATTTTTATTTCTCCTTCATATCTTTATTTCTTTTTCTTTTTTTTATACATTAATTTTTGCTACCATTTTATAATCATATAGCCATGTCTGATATTTTTGTAATTAGATATCTTCGCTCTTATATTATACTACTATTGTTCACAATTTCCCTTACGTTCATTGCTGTTTATTACAGTATATGTATGATGTGTACATATATATGTGTGTGTGTGTGTACATATGTATGTATGTGTGTGTGTATGTGTGTATGTATGCATGTGATCATATGTATACAGTTAAATGGCTTGTTGTTATCAATGCAGACATTAATATTATTACTATTCTTTTTTTTTTATATCTTAGTTTCTTTTTAGATTGGATCCATGTTTTATTTACATATGAATTTTAAACTTAATAAGCTATTATACTGGCAGGTAGATATCAGAATTAAAAGGATTATTTAAATTTATACACCTATAAATATTATTAATTATTATTTAATTTTATAATATCTTATTTATATGTTTGATCAAGGTAATTGCTCTTTTTCTTCTTGTTTATCGTCATCTAGTTATGATTCTACTTTCAGTGACCCTATCCCTCTAAATGAGATTTTAAAATGGAATTTTGACAGCACACATAAGAACTTCAATATAGTTCATATTAACGCACAAAGTATTCCAGCCCACTACCCGGATCTACTTGCATCTTTTGACGTCAATAATGTACATGCTATTCTAGTCTCGGAATCCTGGCTGAAACCATGTCTGTCATCTGCCTCATACGATTTGCCTGGTTTTAATCTTATTCGTAATGACCGAGCATTGGCAGGTGGCGGTGGAGTCGCAATTTATCTTCGCGTTAATTTTGCTTACAAGATTATAAATTGTTCTAATAATTCCAATCCTTCTTATGAACCTGAATTCCTATTTATCGATGTCAATCTTTCACATTCTAAAGTTCTTCTTGGCGTATTTTATAGTCCTTCCTCTTCTATCGATTATTTTGATTCTCTTGAAATTACCCTAGAAAACTTAATTCCATCCTATAATCACACCATTATTATGGGTGATTTTAACACATGTCTCCTGAAAGATGACTTCCGCTCAAAACGTCTCACCTTTCTTGCTGTCTCTTGTAACCTCCATATCCTACCTCTTCAGCCAACGCACTTTTTCCCCAATAGTAATCCTTCCCTGTTAGATCTTATGTTTGTTTCGTCCTCTGATCTTGTCGCTAGGCATGGTCAGTGTCCTGCAGATGCCTTTTCATACCACAATTTAATTTACCTTTCTTACAAAATTCGCCCGCCTAAACCTAAGCGTAGAGTGGTAATGCAGCGCAGTTTTGGTACCATGAACTTGGAGCAGTTGCGAACTGATGCTGCCGCATGCAACTGGTCAACGATTGGTAGCCAGAACTCAGTTGATGAGCAAGTCAAATTGTTCAACTCCTTTCTCCTAGAGTTATACGATCGTCATGCTCCTGTTCGTCCGGTGCGTCTCAAGCATATTCCTGCTCCCTGGCTAACTGATGATATTAAAGCTCTTCAGGCTAAAAAAAACAAGGCAAAAACGAAATTTAAATTAAACCCTGATAAATATCGCGACCATTACATTAGAGCTAGGAATCTCTGTAATAGAGCATGTAGGGAGGCTCAACGTCGCCACATCCATACATCTGTCGAAAACGAAGACCCAGCTAAAGTCTGGAGGTTTCTCAAATCACTTGGAGTTGGAAAAACTCAAAGCTCTCATAATAATAATACTGACATTGAAAGTCTTAATAGACATTTCTGCTCTTCTGTCGATTTCAATATCAAAGACAAAACTAGTACATTAAATTCTCTTTCATCTTTTCCAACTCCTAATATAACTCCTTTTTCATTTAATCAATTTTCCGATTGTGATGTTAGGAGAAACATACTGGCTATTACGTCGAATGCCACTGGAAATGACAGCGTTAGTCGTAACATGATTATCCCTATCCTTGATATTATCCTTCCCACTATTACTTCCCTCCTTAATAATTCTGTTTCCTGTAGTGTCTTTCCTACTGTATGGAAAGATGCTAATGTAATACCTCTCTCCAAAAATAATAAACCATTGACTTTCTCTGACTATCGCCCTATTTCTATACTCCCTTTTCTGTCCAAAGTTTTAGAACGCCTTGTGCATCATCAGATTTATACCTTTCTTTTGCGAAATTGTCTCCTAAATCCTTTTCAATCAGGTTTTCGCCCAGGTCATAGTACGACTACCGCTCTCATCAAAATATCTGATGACATTCGGCTTGGCATGGACAAGTCGCAATTGACGGTGTTGACATTACTGGATTTTAGTAATGCCTTCAACACCGTGGATTTTGACATTTTACTCGCCATTTTACGTTCTCTTAACATATCTCCAACGGCTATTGATTGGTTTCGTTCTTACCTGTCTGGGCGTCGGCAGCGTATTCGTATTGAGGATATTAACTCTTCTTGGTGCAACACGACTGCTGGCGTTCCTCAGGGTGGCGTATTATCTCCTCTTCTTTTCGCATTATTTATCAATTCCATTACACATAATCTTCGATCTTCCTACCATCTCTATGCAGACGATCTCCAAATTTACTCTCAAGCCAGTTTTAGTAATATCACTGATGCAATTTGTATCATTAATGAAGACCTTTCCCGTATATCAGACTGGAGCAAAGCTTACGGCCTCACCGTAAATCCATCAAAAACGCAATGTATTATTATCGGTAGCCCTCATTATATATCTAAATTAAATTCAATTAATCTTCCACCAGTAGTTTTTAACGGTCAAGTAATTAAATATAGTACTAGTGTGAAAAATCTCGGAATACATTTTGATCAAACACTGACCTGGTCTTATCAAATATCTCAGTTAAGCCGTAAAATATTTGCTTCAATAGGTAGTCTCAATCGGCTACGAAACTTTCTACCAGTCGGTACCAAGACTGCATTGGCACACTGTCTACTACTTCCTATTCTAGATTACGCTGATTCCTGTTATGTTAATCTTACAGAAGATCAATTAAATAAACTTGAGCGACTTCAGAACATATGTATACGGTTTATATTTAATCTTCGCAAATATGACCACATTTCTGATTTCCGCAATCAACTCAAGTGGCTTCCAATTCGCCTTCGCAGGAACTGGCACATCCTATCTCTTCTTTACACTATTCTTTTTCATCCTTCAACTCCCGATTACCTCAAAATGTGCTTTGAGTTTCATGTCGATTCTCAGGGTCGTACATTGCGCAGCGCGAGATCCCTTCGTTTAGTAACTCCTATTCATTCTTCTAAATTCTATTCCTATTCTTTCACTATAAAAGCTATCCGTCTCTGGAACTCCTTACCTCTTTCTATTAGATCAGCGCAATCTCTTGCCTCGTTCAAGAGGCAGGTAAAATCTCATTTCCTATCTCTCTAATTTGCTTTGACGTTTACTATGTGTGATTTATCTTGATCTATTTAGTATATTTATGTTTATGTATTATTATTTGTATTATATATATGTATGTTTATGTATTATTATTTATATTATATATGTATGTTTATTTAGGTTATGTAATCTTATTTTTATATTTAGAATTTTTTGCATTTTGTCTGATTCCTTTTATGCATTTACTGTGTCTGATTTGCGCCATCTACCTTTCTCTCTGTACTTATCCATTCTTTATGCCAGGTTGTCTGTAAGAGATTGCTTGTAGCGATAAGGCCGCCTTTTGTATATGCACGTTCTGTATAAATACTCCTTGTATACATCTTTACTGTGCGCAATAAAGAGTTTATTATTATTATTATTATTATTATTAACTATTATTATATTAAAAAATATAGTTAATATCGAATAAAAATTTGTTTCCGCGATATTACATTTTCTGATGACATTTAACTGTTAATATAATTTTTAGATAGACTTAATTTGGAAGAATGATGCACATTTAGTTTGTGGAGAAAACGAAGGATAAAGTAGCTATCACCGAAATCGAGTTATAGCGTCACTATGGAGTTTGATAGTTCCGTTTTGCTGTAATCATATTTGAATCACAAAGTAGGGACGCTTTATGTCCGAACGAAATTTCACTGGTTATTTTTCTAAATTTACGATTTGCGATAAAATATTTGGAGATTATAGAAATTTATTAATGCGCCCCAGGAGAATACCTATTCATCATTTTACAGAATTTTATAACGAAAATTGAATGGAAATTGCTGAAGTGAAAATGTACAGGAATCAATGGTATTAATTTTCTGGTGTTACAGTTTTATATATATATATATATAGGTATATCTTAGTAATGTAAATGTAATACCGTATTACATTACAGATGCGAAGCACTTGAGAGGTGCATAATACGAGCATCTGTGTAATGTTCATGTCTGTAGTGAAGGTAACTTTTTTAGTGTTAGATAACATAATAATATAATATTTAGAATATAAAATAAGTGTTGAGTATAAAAAATAAAAAATCAAATCATGTAGATATAGTATTTTTTACAAGTATCTTAAAAACAGTTACCAGAGGGAGACTTTGTACAAAAGTCGATTGCTTGGGTACCTCTGTCCCATTCATGTTTCTACCGTAAAGCAGTTGTGTTTGCATGGCTATGTTTCGGTTTGAAGGGTGGGATATGGCGTGAATTTACTGGGTACAGAGGAATAACACCTGAGTCCTCAGAAATGGCATCGGATGGGG